CTGGGTGCCCCTGGGTGCAATGGGAGCAGCTCTGCTCTTGCAGCCCCACAAAGCTCTGGGTGCCCTTGGGTGCAATGGGAGCAGCTCTGCTCTTGCAGCCCCACAAAGCTCTGGGTGCCCTGCTGAGCTGCATGCTGCCTTGGCAGGGCAGCCCTCCCTTGGCTCCAGGCTCCTGGCTCCAGGCTCCAGGCTCTAGGCTCCTGGCTCCAGGCTCCAGGCTCTAGGCTCCTGGCTCCAGGCTCTTCCCGAAGGGAGCGCTGGTACCCGTGCCATGGCAGGGCCTGTGCCAACAGCTGCCCCGGTCTGTGGGCATCAGCGGGGTCCTGCTCCTCCAAGCAGACCTGTGCCGCTGCCCGGAGAGCTGCTGCAGAGCCAAGTGCTCCCAGGCCACGTGTGAGAGCTGGGACGAGCCAGCCCGGGGAGGGAGGCGCAGCCAGGCTGCGGTTGCTGCCCGGGCAGCCCGGAACACTCCTCGAGCCGCTGCCTTGTGCATGTGCGTGGCCAGCAGCCATGTGGCAGCGGCGCTGCCTGTGCCCAGCCCCGGGCCCGCGTGCCGCCTCCATCCCGCGCTGTCCCGCGGCTCCGCTCCTCGTGCCCCGGGGGCCGGCTGGGCTGCGGCGAGCAGCCGCTTGCGTGAGGAAGGGCTCAGTGAAGCTGCCTGGGGGTGACACAGGTGGGGAGCGCCCAGCTGCACCCTCTGGCACAGAGCTTTCCGAGACTGTTTGATCCATGGAGCGCTCCTGCCCTGCTGGCGCCTGCGGGGCGGCTGGGGCCCTGGCCGGCCTCGCTGCGGGCTGAGCTCCCGGTTCCCAGCACGAAACCCCAGCACGAAACCCCAGCACGAAACCAGCTTTTCCCCCGAGCTGCCCCAAGGGAGGAAGCTCCGCGAGGCTCTGGGCAGAGCTCGAGTGTGCGGGTGCTGATGTTCCCTCGCCTGCGGGTCTCTGCAGCAGCGGGGCTGCTGTCCTGCACATGCAGCAGGGCAGCCTCCTTGCAGGGCCGGGCTGGCACCGACATTGCAGGGCTGTCCCCGGGTGCGTGCGGAGCTCCCGCGGGACCTGCCGCGTGTGCCCGGCTCCTCCGGGCTGCCACGCTTCCTGCCGCAGCCATTCCTTAGCTCCCAGTTCCTGTAGGACCTGTGCTACGGGAACAAGCCGTGTGCTGCCAGAGGGACAGTTTGTTGGCGGCACTTCCCTTCCTCTGCTTCTCCTCTTCTCCTGCATCCAACAGCTCTTTTCCAGTGTTAGCAACCATTGCTTTTGCTCGTCCGTTTGCATCTCTGCTCCTCTGCGGCGCTCGTCCCTGCTCGTTGCCGTGTGTGTGTGTGTGTTCCCTGTCGCCCAGCCGTGTCTGTGTGTTTCTAACTGACTGTGCTATCTCTGTCTGTCTCTATCAGCCTGACGCGGACGACGACGCAGTGGTACGCACACCTTTTCTTTCGTTGGGTCTCTCTGCACCTCAGTAGCCCCGTTCCTTTGAGTGCCCGCGCGGCTCCGTGTGCAGGGACCATGCGTGGGGCCGTGGAGGGGACATTCCTGCCCCGGCTCCGCTCCACAGGAGGACAAGGCCTGAGCACGGGGCCGGTTCCAGCCCTGCTCACCACAGAGTTTCAGCCGTAGAGCTGCAAATCACTGCGGTGCCGGAGCCGGAGCCGCTCTGCCCTGCAGGGAGGCAAGACGTGGGAGCCCCAAAACCTTCCACGGTGACACATGTTCCCATAGACAGGAGAGGGGCCGGGGCCTGCGGTTGTGCTGGCCCCTGCAGTAGGGAGAGGAGGAGGACGCAGAGCTTTAGAATGAGCTTAGGGCTGAAAAGCTGCCAGTGGGAAGAGGCTCTTTGGCCTGTGTGGCAGGCGGGAGCAGCGGCGCCGCTCGCGCTGGCCGTGTCCGGGCCCGTCCAAGGTGGCCCTGCTGCATTAGGGCACGCCGCCGCGGCCCTTCGTCCCCGCCGGCTGCAGCACGAGCTCCCGCCCTCGCCACAGGGTGCTGGTGCCGGCTGGGCTGCCTCGTGCGGCGGCCTCGCGCTCGGCGCCCGGCGAGCGCCGGCTCCCCGGCACCGCTCCTGCGCCCCGGTGCCGGCTCCGCGGTGCGCGTGCCGCGCGGTGACGGCGCCTCCGCCGTGTCTCTTGCAGAGGACCATCTCGCTGGGAGCGGGGGACCGGCAGGTCATCCAGACGCCCATCAATGACTCGCTGCCCGTCAGCAGCTGCAGCGTCGCCCTGCTCTTCCGGCAGCTCGGTGAGACCTTCCTCTCCTCCTCCTCCTCCTCCTCCCCATGGGTCCCGTGCCTGAGCTAGGGCTGGTGTCCCCTGCGCGTGGTTCCCACCTTGCTGCTGAGCTCGGTGGGGGCTTCGTTCCCGCTGCGGCCGCCGGAGCCGGGCCCTGCTCTGCCCTCCCCTTCCCAGGTGGGCAGAGATGCCAGGCTGGCTCCTCTGCCCCGGCTCCGGAGCAGGGGGTGCCCGGCTCTCATGGGAACCGGCCGGGACGGTGGACTGGCACGAATGGGTGCAGAGAGGAGTGAGGCCGGGGTCTCCTCCCTCCTGGGGAGAGAGTGTTTGCAGCTTCAGCAAAGCTCTTGAACCCCTTTTACAAAAGGGGGGTTCCTTGGGGGGAAGCTTGGGCTCCCTGCAGGATATTGAACTCCTTTGCTGTGCTGAATGTGGAGGTGCCAGCGAGGCCGGCGGTTGCTGCTGATGTGGGCACCAACCAGGGCCGGGCTTTGGGTCGACCTCGGGCGCGCGACGGGCCCCTCTTGCTGAGCGCCCTTGTCCCCCTGTCCCCGCAGGCATCACCAATGTGCTGTACCTCTTCTGCGCGGCGCTCACCGAGCACAAGATCCTCTTTCTGTCGAGCAGCTACCAGCGGCTCACGGACGCCTGCCGGGCCCTGCTTGCGCTCATGTTCCCCCTCAAGTACAGGTGAGGGGCAGCACCGTCCTCAGCCCCGCGGCGCAGAGCGCCTGCTTTGCCTCCTCCGTGCCCTCGCCCTCGTGCCGTCCTAGCTGGTGCGTCTGAAGGGCTGCAGGGGATGCAGCCTTGTGGCATGGAAGGACGCTCGCTCTGCCCCTGCAGGGAGCTCTTTTCCTGAAGCCCCTCGCTGCAATTCTGCCCCTCGCTGCAATTCTGCAATAGATTCACGGGAGCAAAGGAGCGCTGACCCCTCCTCTGCTCGCCCCTGCTTTCCTAGGGTCAAATCTGGCCTGGAGCAGCGGGAAGCAGGGCATGAGGCGCTGCTGGCACAGTCTGTCTTAGCCCAAGCTGCTGCTGGCAGGAGTTAGTCCCGGTTGCTGCATGCCTTCAGGGAAGGCGGCAGGCGGGCCCGTCAGCCTGCTGGGCGCTGGGCTGGCACATCACTCCCTTCACGTGCTTGGGCAGAGGCCAGAGATGGTCAGCTCTGCAGCACCTGCCCCTTTCCCTCCCTTCTCCGCCCGCTGCAGCCGGGGCAGAACCCAGAGCCTCAGTGCGCCGCTCCCGCGGGAAGTTGGGTGGCACCCCAAGAGGGTGCTGCAAACCAGGAGGCTTCCAAAGCAAATCCTGTGCTCCCTCAAGAGCGGCCTGGGCACACAGGGCTTTTGTTGGAGGGCGGGTGCTGGTGACCAGGTCCCACGGGGGCTCCTGGAGCAGCCTGCACGCCCTGGCCAGCGCCGCTCTTGGGAGCCCCTGTGCCGCCCGCCGCTGCCAGGGCTGTTTGCACATGTCCCCAGCGGGACGGGTGGCATAGACGAGCCATTGTGGCCGCCCGCCCCTGTCACGCTCCTTCCGTGCAGCTCTGCCATGCCCCCAGGCTGCAGAAAGGCTATTTGTGTTCCAAAGAAAGCTTTCTTTGGGGTGGAAGCTGCTGGGAGTCCTTGCCTTGGTCAGGCTTGTAGCACAGGGCCACGGATGGTCGTGGTTGGTGTCTGCAGGTACCCAGAGCCTTGCGTGGCTCCGAGGGCTGGCAGGGAGGGCTGCAGCCAGCCTGGAGAACGGGCATCTCCTGCCTGGAGAGCAGCGCGTCGGGAGCAGCCGGCACAGCAGGACTCGGCTGGCTGCAGCCATGCTCTTCTCTGCTTGCAGCTTCACGTACGTGCCCATCTTGCCTGCACAGCTCCTGGAGGTCCTGAGCACTCCAACACCCTTCATCATCGGAGTCCACTCCGTCTTCCAGTCGGAGACGCAGGAGCTGGTGAGGCTCCGGGACGCGTGTCCCGCACGCCAGCGGCCCCGGCACCGGAGCTCTGCTCTGCACAAGCTGCAGCGCAGGCAGCTCCACGTGCCCGTGAGGAAGAGCTTGTTTGGTGGGAGGGTGCCCGAGCCCTGGCCCAGGCTGCCCAGGGAGGCTGCGGAGGCTCCTGCTCTGCAGATCTGGCACCGCGCCGGGATGCGCCCGGGTGCCCCGTGCTCTGGGTGTCCCTGCTGGAGCAGGGGCTGCACCGGGGGAGCCCTGGGGGTCCCTGCCAACCTCAACCACCTGGGATTCTGGGGTTCTGTGAGTGCGCTCAAGTTGAGCAGGGCCAGCTGAGCTTGGGCTTTGTCAGGCCTAAGGTCTAGAGTATCTGCAAGGAGCGGCCGGGGTTAAGCGAGGATTCGGTGTTGAAACAGCTGGCGCCGCTGGTCCAAGAGGCCGCGTTGGCACTTGGGTGTTGCCGCCTGCAGTTTGGAAGCTGAACTAAGTCAAGGCATGAGGAGTCTAAGCTAAAGCGAGCTAATGAGTGGCCTTCTGCCCAAATTGAGGGAAAAAAAAGCCATTTTGATTAAGCAAGATGGTTGCAGTCCTGGGTTTGGCGCTGGTGTTTGCCTCGTAAGAACCGCAGCAGGTCCGGAGAGCACTGCTGTCCTGCTCCGTGTCGGTGCCCAGCCCGCAGGCGGCAGGGAGGGTGTTTCGGAAGGCCGGGCCTTCTCTCACGCCCGTCCTGCCGTTTCCAGCTGGACGTGGTCATCGCAGACCTGGATGGCGGGACGGTGAATGTCCCCGAGTGCGTCCACATCTCCCTGCTGCCCGAGCCCCTGCTGCAGCAGACCCGGGAAGCCCTCTCCATGGTAAGTGCTCCCGCTCTTCCCGCATCCGCAGGGAGAGAACACCTCGGGACTCGACCCCGGGGGACAGCTGTGAATAGGACAGCTTGGCACTTCCATGGGAGCCCTGTGAGACAAAGGTCCATGTCGCAGAGTCCTCCCCTGTCCCATGGGACCACGCACGGCCCGCGTGCCCTCTGGCACACAGCGGTGCCGCCGGCGAGGGCCGCTCCTGCCAATGGGTTCTGGGAAGCGGCGGCTGCTCCCAGGCTTCGGGCAGGAAGCAGCTGCAGCCCTGAGGCTGCTTTCCTGGCCGCTGCTGTATTCCCGGAGGCAACAGGACAACAGGCAGCGGCCACAGGCTGAAACACAGGAAGTTCTGCCTAAACATGAGGAAAAAACCCTTGACCGTGAGGGTGACTGAGCACTGGCACAGGGTGCCCGGCGAGGCGCTGCAGTTTCCATCCTTGGAGGTGTTGAGCACCGTGATGCTGTGCACCTCGCTGGAGGTGCCCCTGCGTGTGCAGGCGCGTTGGCCTAGATGGTCTCCAGAGGTCCCCGCCGGTTCAGTCATGACTCCACCGCTCTGCTGGGCACAGGGACGGCAAGCTGTGCCCAAGGGAGCTTCCCCCGTGGCTGTGGCAAGTGGGGTGCGGGTTCCTGTCACCCTGGGGTCGCTGCCTTGCTGTGCTTTAAGTGCTCAGCTCTTAGCTCTTGCATGACGCCTTTCCCCAGCTGTGACTTGCAGATGGAGAGCCTGGATTGCCTGGCATGGTAGGGAGTGTCGTAGGAGTCTGATGTCTGCTCCGATATCTGGTGGCTTTAGCTCAGTTGCCCGGGATTTGTTCCCGAGCCGCTCAGGCCGTATCTGTGGGCCCTGTTGTGGTTCTGGAGGAGGCTCCTTCCTTCGGTCCCGCTGCGGACGCAGGGACGCCTGCGCGCGGCGCTGAGCTTGCCCTGTGCCTCTGCCTGCAGGTGTTGGACCCGGAGCTGGAGGTGGCGGATCTCGCCTTCCCCCCGGCCACCGTTTCTGCCTCCTCTCTCAAGATGCAGGTGAGTGGGAGCAGGGAGGGGAGGACAACTCGGACATACCTCAAGGGGGGCATGGAGAACTGCAGCCAGGAGGGCTGCCGTTGCTGCTGGACACCCTGTGTCCTGCCCATGGAGTGGAGAGCCAAGGATTCAGGCTTTTCCCCATCTCAATATCTCTTCAGGGTCACAGGGTGTAACACGCTGCTCCCACTCTGGGTCATTTCTGGCCTGGAAGCTGGCACTGCCACTTCCGTAGATGTTCTGTGCATGGGGGCTGCCTGTTCTGGACTGGAGCAGCAGCTGGAAGTTGGTGCCTCCCATTCGGGCATTTCAACAAAGCCCAGAGCAGCTCCGGGCGGTGGAGGCACCCTTCTGCTCTGTGTGCCGTGTCATGGGATGCTGTGCAGAGGAAAGAGCCCGGGGATTCCAGGCTGCCGCGTCCTTTCCCCGCTGGAATCTCTCTGCTGGGCTTGCTGCCCTGTTGGGCAGGTGCAGCACTCTGCCTGACGGAGCTTCCTTCCATTTGTGCAGGATAAGGAGATCCGGGCCGTCTTCCTGCGCTTGTTTGCACAGCTTCTCCAAGGCTATCGGTGGTGCCTGCACATCATCCGCATCCATCCCGAGCCAGTGATCCGCTTCCATAAGGTAGGGGTGCCGGCACACGGATGTGCGCGCGGGCCGGCACGCCGCTGCACGCCAGCCGCCCGGGTCGGACCCGTGCTTGGCCAGAGCACCCAGGGAAAGCAGCAGGATAGAGACAGGAGGAACCCTGGAGGGCAGGGAGACCCCCTTCCCACCGCTCTAGGGCCTCGTGTCCACCAAACCGGACTCTCCTCAGATTGCGCTGTGTGTCTGGCATAATCCTTTTCCAGCTGGGTTAAGCTGGACTGAGGTAATCTGAGAAGGTTTGCATTGATGCAGCTGTGTCCAGAGCCGAGCTCGGCGCTTGCAGCCGGTGACGTCCGGTGTCGCTGCCAGGTCCACCTGCCTCCCTGGTCCTGGGCCAAGCTGTGATCTTGTGGGCCCGGTGCCACTTTCCTGTTTGGGCCGAGCTTGCAGTCAGGTGTGCTGTGTTTCCATGCCTTGTGCCACGTGGCCTTCGAGGTCCTAGGGAAGGGAGCCCTCAGGCTGGCCACCCTGCACAGGAGCCCCTTGGCCCTCAGCCCCCCAGAACGGGCAAGGCCAGGGGCAGGGAGAGGACAACGAGGCTTGAAACGTTTGGGATCCATGGAGGAAACCTAAAGCAGGGGAACGTGACAGATGAGGAGAGGAGCTCGGGGGACTCCAGCGTTGCAGCTTAGCATGGCCATGTCACAGAGCCCACAGAGCCCTCGCTGCTCCTCTTGCAGCCTCTCCTTTGCAAGCTCAGAGCCAGTGAGCACCGAGAGCTGGGAATTTTAATGCTGCTTCTGTGGGAACTCGTGGTGATGTCTGTCCCACCTGCCAAACGCCCCTGTGCTGCAGAAAGCTCCAGGGAGCAGGAACCTGCTACCTGCAGAAGTAGCTGCATGTGGGTGCATGAGGGGTGCATGTGAGCTGGCGCGTCCTTGACCCGCCCGTCCTCTGCTCTGCAGCGCTCCGTAAAGCCTGCACTGTTTACTGCCTGACATTTAAAACGGGCATTATGGTCATAAAGGCTCTGAGCTGCCTTTTATACTCAATAAAGGTTATTCCTGGTGAAGGTTCAGTAGTTCCACAAAACTATAGACCTCCAGTAAACATAAGAAAAAGCCCTTTCATAAAACCCCTATAAAAAGTCTAAAGCATAATAGACTTCTGTTTCATGCAACGCTTGTGCACCGCAGAGTGCAGTGCAAAATAGCCTCAATCTCAGTGCTTTAGCTGCGGCCATCACAGCAGCATCTTTAGGCCATCTGTGACCTGCTGCTTGTAGAGGGTGCCCAGGTGACAAAGCTGCAGGTTTTGGATTGCTCGTGACCTGCTGCATCCCTGCCCTGCTGCATTCCTGCTGCA